CGATAGAGGGAGGGAGTCTTCTTGTACCAAGCACCTTGCAAAGCAATGTGGCATCTTGGGCAGAGCCAGCACTGGACATCAGATGTCCATTGCAGTCCTCTGGGCATCCCAGGAGATGTTTTGGTCTTCTGCAACAGGCAGAAAGATGCACTGTGGGGTTGCTTTTATGTAAGAATACCCCTATGCTTTCCATGGTTTGTCAGTAGGTACTTTGCTCATACAAGTCTGTCAGACTTCAGCCATCCAGCGTAGCATCCTTGGGAATGCTTTCTGTATTTTCTTGATTTGCTTGCTTGCTAACTATACTATTTCTTACAGACAAAGGATCAAAAATACCCCATTGACTTGGCCTCAGCTTAAAAAGGTGGTATATATCTTTTCTTTTAGAAAATTGCTGGAAGTCTTCCATGTAAAGCAACCAACATCTGTCCCTACCGGTGCCATATCCAGCATGTGAGCTCCCAGTAACCACTGAATAGTATGTATGAAATATCTTCAGATCACCAGATGATACCCAGATATTCAGCTCTTGCTTACCTGGAAGCAGGCAAAGGTAGCTGGGTCTTCTACCACCTCCCACACTTCTGCTCACAGGAGACCCTTGTCCTGTACCTGCTAAGAGTAACTGGCATATTTGTGGGTGTCTATCAAACAAGTAAAAAATTATTTTCTCTTTGTCAACTCTCTTTTATCCTACATGACCTCCAACAGCATGAGGACCAAATTCTCCCTAACAAATCCAGTTTTTCCCAGTTGCCCACCCTGTTTAATTGTCTAAATTACTGGTGATGCTGCTTCCAATTATTAGAAATTACTTCCCAGTGGTGGACTTGTCGAGAGGGTCAGATCCTAATGAAGTCCTTGGATGGCACAGCCTGTCATGGACAGGAGCCTGCCCCCCAGGGCCACTGCCACCAACATGATGCACTTGTCCTGCCTGGGAACTTCTCATGGCTGACCTTATGGTATGGCTTTGGACCTGACAGGTAAGCAATGTTCCTTCTGCAGCTCTTGCTGGAATTTATTTCTCCATGGCCTCCAAAGAATTTCAGCATGCCACATGCCTGCAGTTCCCTCTGTCATCTTCTCCAGCAGCAGAAAATCAGGATATGCCTTCAAAGCTAAAGCCAATGGTTATCAATGGTTAAAGCCAACAGCTATCAGCAATGCAGCCCTGTTCTTTACAGGAGCCATAACCCAAATCCTTCCCATCAGAGATTGATCCCTACATGAAGGACCTGCCAAAAGTGTCCTCAACAAGCACAGGACAGCACAGTGCTTATGCTGCATTGATTTCACTTGCTCCCAAACAAAACCAAAGCCTCCCTCAAGCTACAATCATCACATCCATCTCTAAGCCTTCCCTGAACATCAATATCTGTTTAATTTTTGTGGCTAAGACAACAGAGTCGTCTTTGGGGTGCTCACAATTTGCTAATCCATGAGCTGAAGCACTGTCCTGAGCTGCTGTTTGTCCATCCTCAGTGTGGCTGGGAGCACGTCTGGAATTGCTGCGTGTTGCTACGACACAGTGGCACACATGTCACGAACAGCCAGGGTTGCCATAGCAATATCCTTTTCATACCGAATTGCAATGCTGAAAAGACACTTAAATTCTCATGTAACTGGCAAGAGCATAAGTTTAGTGCTTTTTCTGACAGTTCTACCTAGCACTGCTGCAGTCTGGGTATTTTTTAAAGTATGTTAATTAGCACTTAAATAGTTTTGGGGTTTTTTTAAAGGATGAATGTGGGGTTTTTTATTTTCATTTCTTTGATTCTTCTACCTTCTTCTCCCTAAGCTTCAGGTTCCAATCAAAATTTTACTGCTCTATTTTTACCTACCGTCTGTAAAAGCAACAAAAAAGCTCTTTTTTTGCCTTCTTGTGTAGAGGAGGGAAAAAAAGAAGGTAAATGGATGTTACATAAATGGAGCTAGGGAGGTAGGTTAGAGATGCAGGTCCAGTGCTGCTGGTTAGGAAGGATGGGAAGGTGTTGGCAAAAACGTTGTAGGGAGACGAAAGGATGAAATGGCTTGGCCTGATCCATCCTGCATTGCCACCAGCTACCAGGAGAGCCTGACTCATTAAAGAAGAGATCTCTTCAAGATGCTTTTAGATGGAGAAAGGCTGCTCTATGAAGAAAAAGCAGACCTCTGGCAAGGCATGACACTGATCCATTACGGATAAATCAGGTTACCTACAGAAAAAGCAAACCCCAAAACCCCCCAAATCCTGTACCCAGTAAAATCAGTTGGGAGTTTTGCAATGAACTCTACTGACACCAGGCTATGGCTTTTACTAATATATTAATTATAGATTTGGTTTTACAAATGAAGCTTCAAGGTGAAGACTTATACTGAAAAATGACTGTATTTACAAAGGTTTTGATGGAGCATGCATGTAGAAATCATGGAACCAGCCAGAAATCTCAAAGAAATGCAAACCCTCATCTCCTCCGTAAGGTAGCTCTTACAACTGGGAGTCTGATTGGTATTAGCTGTCAGATGAATGACAAGAATGTGGAGAAATGCCTGACCTGTATGTTTTAGCCTGTGTTTCTGGGCTCAGTGAAGAGGCACCACTCTGTCCCGTGTTTCTGCCACCACTGCCTGGGGCTGGTGGTTGGTGCCCACCTCTCTGCTCTATCTGCAGCCTGTGATCACTCCAGCACAGTCCCAAGGAATAAATAAGTATTACTCAGTGGCAAGTAACAGACTTTTTCCACTGTGCCACCTTTTCACATGCCCCTGGAACCTAAAAATGTTCTTAAAGCTCATCATGTGCAATGCCCAGTGCAGTGAGTGCTGGGATTATGCCTTGAATCCCCAGCAATGAACATCCCACCCTCAGACCTTACCTATGATTTTTCCACTGCTTTGGGGTCTGCTGCTGCCCTATAGCAAACATAAGTATCACCTCCATCTTTTGGGAGATATAACTATTTTTTTGTGGAATATTTTGCAGTTGACCTCCCTTAGTCACAGCAGAAAAGAAATACAGAAGTGTGTGTTTGTGAAAGGCAGGAAAAAATAACTGCTTTGGAAAAGACAGATGTCTTCTTTGGTGGTGGAGGGGAGGCAGAGGGAAAATGGCAACCATGTGGAAGTGGGCAACTGAAACACACACCTGAAGGCAAAATCCAAAGCAGTGACATGAGTTTAAAGGGGTGAAGGGAGACAGAACAATGAGAAGCAGATTTTTAAATTAGACTAATAAAAAGTACAGGTTAAATGTTATCAATTGAACTTGCAATCAAAGAAAGACCTGAAATGAGTCTTTGGGATGGATCCAGGCTTAAGCCAATGACTGCTGTAAACCAGGCAGCTGGAAGCTGGTGGTTTGCAATCCCTTGGGAAGCCATCCTGACCCCTCTTGTGACACAGGAAACAGTCACCTACGTTTACAGGAGCAAGATCTTGCTGTTCCTTGTGGTTTCTGGAGCTCACCCAGCCAGCACCATGAAGACATCACAACTCCAATGCCCCAGGTACCTCCATGGACTGCCCTGGGAGCACTTCTCATGCCAGCTCTATAAGCACCAGCTGGGAAACCTCTCCCATGAGGACAAGGCAATCAGATCTTTCCTGGGGTGACACACAGGTGCACAGTTCATCCGAAGGTAAATGGAAAGATTTGTGCCAAGTTTAAAAGGAAAAATGCTGTCTCATGTAATCCTGGCTCCAGGCTCACCCAGTCCTTGCACTTTCCATGGGACGTGTTATCTCTAGTCTTCATGACTCCATCTTCTCCTTGCTGCTCATTATAATCTCATCCAGGAAAAATAACTAACACTTGCAGGATCTGAAAGTCAGACACACTACATAACATATGGTGGTAGACTCTAGTTTGATTCCTTCTCCTCTTGCTGCAGTCTTTTCAGCTTTGGAACTTGCCCATGGGATGGTGGTGGTGGGATGGCTCCTGGGAGGGACTGGAGGAGCGAGCTGGTCAAAATCACACAATACCATGTAGGTGAAAATATAAACTCTCCATGAGAAGGTGTCTGACATGGAGGTTTCACTGCAGATCACAACCAGGACATAGGAAATAAAACAGAAATCGCACAGGTGAGGAGAAAGGAGGAAAGCTCTTTCTGAGCTTTCCTCATGATTCTAATCTCAGGTAAGGTTATTGAAGACCAGTATAGAAGAAGGGCAAAACTGCTGGAAAGCAAATGTTGAATGTGTAGACAGGACCAAATAGAGGGAGTTTTAACTGGTGCTGGTGGTTGCAGAGCCGATTGGAAGACTGTGCACAAATCTCAGAAATGCCCATGTGTGAAAACGGGTGGTGCTTCTCAAGCCCTGATTCACAGTTGGAAAAAAATGGCAAAGGGACTCGTGCTACCCCACAGTCTTGTGTCAAAGGCAGCGTTTATGAAGCAAAAATAGAGATTTTGTATGATGCTGGCAATTTCTCCTCTTTTTTTACTCTGAAAATACTGTACAAGGATGCTCTAGCTCCCCTCTAATGCCGTGAACTAAAAGGCATGGTCATAAGGGAAAACCAAGGTGAAGCTGGAGTACATAAAACAAACAGAACTTGCTTGTGGCAATGCTACGATCAACTTCCTGGGAATGTGGGCCCAGCGGAGAGCTACGTGGAATAGTCAGTCGGCCCCTAGGTTAAAAGACAGCCCTGCTGCAATAGGTCATGAGGCTGTGCCTCCTTAAAATTGCCAAACAGGCTGCTGGATGTAAGTCTCTTCCAAGTTACCATTGCTGTTTTGAAGCAATAAGTTGGGACTCCTGTATATTATTTTTTTTATTGCATTAGGAAACAAAACCTTTAAAGCATTAAGACAGCCCTTTTATGTCCCTGCCAAAAGGATGTAGTTGATTCACAAGACACATTACGCTGCTGGCCTCAGGCTCCTTGTCGAATGGTACTTTATCTGCCTGCCTCTGTCTCTTTGCCGTGTGAGAGTCGGTTCGGGGGGAGCTCACCCGGTGGCATGCGCATGCATGGTCAGTTTGGTTCACAGTGTCATGACGAGAGGCTACTCCATGCCGCTCCGCAGGATCTGGTTGGCCGCAATCAGCATCACGCTTATAATAAAGGCCATGGCAAACGCGCAGATAAGGCTCTTCCGTACGCAGGTCTGTCTGTTCTGCTTCTGGGCGTGCACTGCGAGGGAAGACATGGGAAACGTGAGATGTTGCACCAACGTAGTGGTTTTGCTTTCCACCAGGGTCAGCTGAGCACAGAAATCCTCCTTTGCCTCTGATTACTACCTTGGCATAATGCTCTAGTCCACACCTCAGAGGTCCCCTGCACCAGCTGAGTCTTACCTCTGCCTCCCGGGACATTTCCAAATAATCCACCTTACCTTTCATTACTTCCAAACCAACTTTTCTAACAGACCACCCTCTCATACTGCAGGAAGTCCTTTCTTTCTCATCTTAGCTTTTAAACCCTTCAAATGCTTGTAGGTGTGTTTTGGTTTCTCTGTGTTTTTCTTTTAAAGCTCTTTATGAAGTTCTCTCTAAAGTTCTTTAATAGGAAATACTGGTCTTCTGTGAATCCCTCAGTCTCATCCAGGCCAACTGGGAATGAGAAGAGATTCAAGATTTGCTCCCCAACAACACTTAAAAAAGACAGTATGAGTATGCACAGTATGTTAGTCATTTTTCCAAACTGTCTAGGTTTTCTGTGCCTAAGCAAATTCAGACTTATTAACAACCCTTTCAAATGAATGCTTGCAGAATAATTGCCAAAAAAGGTGAGTATAATTTGCAGCAGTTAAAATGAGACAGAGTTGGGATTTTTAGCATTTGAAGGATTCGTGCTGTGACTTGCTAAAGCCAGTTCTCAGCTCTGTGTTAGTCTCCCTATCTATGAATATTAGAACAATATGTGGTATGGGAGTAATGTGAATATTAATATTAATCTGTTTGAAAAGGCCTTGAAGGTCCTGAAGATAATCACAGAGGATCCTCACACATGGGATGGATAGCCATGCCCTGTCACTATGGGCAATAACACATGGTCTTGTTTGAGCCTGAGAAGGCATGTACCCGTTGTGTTCTTCTTAAGTATGAACTTGTGATGGTAGGAGGCTTTCAGGTGGCTGGCAACAAGCTCAGAATCACAATATACCTCCAGGGCCCATGTTTAGAAAAGTCTAGGAGACTGTTTTTAGAATATATAAGGAAAAACAATCATTTTCTGATCCAGGCTTAAACCTCATTGCACTGAGAACAGAGAGCACTGGATGCTGCGTTTGAACACTTGCTTCATCCCACATCACCTCCTCTGGCCACGATTTAGTAGTGCCTATGTCCTAATCCCAGCTCCCATGCAATCCCCCAGCATCAGCTCAGTGCTAGAGGCACAAGAAGCAGCACTTTGAGTCAGGCTGCCCAGGGCACTACCAGCATTCCATGGGACTTGCTGTATTCTGTGAAGACAATGAAATCCCCCTTACAGCAGCTCTTTTAAATTAACTTGCTTTCTGCTTGCACTGCTCTACTCCTTGATTCCTTTGCTTGCTCTCATAATGCGCTCAGAATCCATACTGTGGTTCCTTGGCTTTGTGCAGGATGCTCCGGCACATTGAAAAGCTTGTTAAATCACAGCTTTAGTTATTTCTTTCTTTACTTCTCTATTCTCTCTGTACCTTGAAAACACTCCCAGCCAGCAGAAAGAAACAGTGACACAAACCATCACAGTCAGCATTGACATTCAGTGTGGGACTCTGGTGCTGATTTAAAACCCAGTTTTGAAACACCCTATCTCGTCTGATCTCGAAAGTTAAGCAGGTTTGGGCTTGGTTAGAACTTGGATGGGAGACCGCCTGGGAACCCTGGGTGCTGTAGGCTTTGGCAGCCAAGTGGTATGCCACAATTGATATTGCCAATTTCAGGGCAAGGCTCATCCCTTGCCCTCCAGGTGTGCTGACCCCTGTGATTTCCCAAATGTGGGAAACTTGACTGCATAATTTGTGGAAACTTTTCCAGAAGATGGAGATGGGAGCACATCATCACCCGGCTGCTCCAGTTTTAAAACTGGGAGCAGCAGTTAAAGGGTGGTCAAGGCTTTTTGTGATGGCGACTTTCCTATTCAAAGGGAAAGGGCAAAGCATGTTC